ATGCAGCAGGAACCTAGTCCACGCGTCCGTGAGGACAAGTACTGCCCACTGAAGTGCAGGTACTGAAAAGTTCGTCCCCTAAGTGGTGGCTATGTATAGTACGCTTATCTACGTATCGTAGCGTATAGTAGGGGTGCGCACCACCCAACCTATAGGAGAGGAAAGATGAGTGTTTGTTGCTTTGGGAACGCCGGCAGCGTTGGGGAGTTTCGACCTAATGTCGCGACTTAGGGTCGAGCGACAGGGGAAAACCAAATGCTGGGGGCGTTCGACTTATCTTACCGAAGCGATGGTGAGCTAGGCTCAAACCTAAGGCTAGGGACAAGAATATATTAGTTAGTAAGGAAAGGTAAGTAAGTACAAGAAAGCTTACTGACCTAGGGACAAGAGGTCGAAACTGAGGTCCCTAGGGCAGCAGAGGCTGGCTTATATACATGGGGAGATTAGGGCAGGCTGTGCACGTTGGTCCGTGCGCAGCTGGTCTGTGCGCAGCATGCCGACGCGGCCCCGGGGGCCGGTGAGTCAGAGCGGCTGTGTCAGCGGGGCCCGAGCTGTGCCGTGCGCTGCCGCCCCATCTAATCTAATCGTACAGTAGATAGTGGCGCGTCCATATCAGGCAGGTAGTACAGAGGTCGCGGGTTCGAGCCCGCGAAAAGGAAAAAATTAAAAAACGGCTAGGCGCCGTACCAACTCGTGACAGATGTACCGTGTAGAATGAAAGTAGCCGCCGCATGAATCTCTGCCATGGTGTATGGGTCGTCGACGTAGTGATCGGGGTGCTTGAGATGCAGTCGGGTCTCGAGCCGTGTGAGCAACGCTGGCTGGAATCCTCGAAGAAATGCGCGACTTTGTTCGATAGGGGAGAGCTGGTGCTGTGCGATGAGATGTTTCGTAATGGCCATGAAGTCGCGGTAATAGCAGCCTAGGTCTGCCGCGTTGTGAATCCCGATACGAGCGTGTTCTCCAATGAGCTGGTCCATGTCCGCCAGCGACCACTTTCTTGTATTGTCGGCGCCAGGATAGAGTGCTCGTACGTCGGCTTTCCAGTCATTGTAGCTCTTGGCTACGTCGATGAAGGACTCGATGGTTTCCCACAAGTCGGCGACGTCGATCGAAGGGTACCGAACGGCCCACTGTTTCTTGGCTGCTTCGTCGGTAATCTGACACCGGGTGAACAACGCTTCGAGGTCCTGGAAGTAACGCCGAAGCGAACGGACTTCAGACGGGTCGAAGCTTGGTGCCGTCGAATGACCGCGCGGGGGCATCAATGGTGTGTTCGTATTCTGGCTCATGTTCGTAGTGTTGGTAGGAGCTGGGCTTGAAGAGGACGCGGTAGTAGTCGAAGGAATCGTAGGTGCGGACGGTGCGGGGTTGGAGTTCAAAGCTGCGTTCGAAGGTGCTAATGGTGGCGGAGGTGCCAGGTCGGATGTAGGTATGACTGAAAGTTGCAAAGAGGATGCGATAGATGGCTGAGCGTGGGCACAAAAAGAAGACAGAGTCGGGAGTCCGAGATTTGAAGTAGATGGGATGGGATCCTCGGGTTTGGGCGAAGAACTGGATCGTTCGAAAGAATCAGGAGTCGAAATGTCGTAGTCGGAAGTAGTGAGGCCTAGAAGCTCGGGGGACAAAGTGCGTTCTTCGGCGGCCGAAGGGATTGGTTCTTCGTCAAAGTCGTCCTGGAGTTCTTGGTCTATCTCGTCTTCTTCGTCGCGGTCGAAGTCACCGGGGATTGTTGGAGAGGGAGTCGATTGCGTTCTAGAGGAGCTGTCGAGGTTCTCAGCAGCGCTGCGGCTAGCAACCTCACGCGCTTGCGAGTGGGTGACTACTGGAGACGTTTTCAGAAACCCGAAAGCGGCGAATTCTTGCCTGAGATCCCCTCGCAGTGGGCTCCAGAAATGATACAAACTACGTAACCCTAACCCCTAACCTGGGTGCGACCTAAAGGGACTAGAGAGACAGATTATAGTCTAATGAGAGGGGAGTTAGCAGCAAGGTGTCCCGCGGTTCGAGTGAACATGAGAAACACCCTTGGCAAAGGTTACGACTAACGGGAAAGGTACGAGGTGGCTTCGACACGTCGTCGAAGCTACTCGGAAGCTGGGGGTGGTTAGTGGAGACGATCGAAGCTCGGCAGAGCTCTTTGATGTATCGTAGAAGGAAGGGACACGACTTGAAGGGGGGGGACTTAGCTAGGACGCGGTTCGCAGTTTCTTCAACAATCGTCGAAGTCGAAGGGTTCGTCGAGACGGTATCGACGAGTAAACACGGTGGACGAGGTTTCGAGGTTACGCAGTGAGGGACAAAGTGACATAGTTGAGAGCTTAGACGCGGGGCGAACTCGACTTATGAGCTCTGAACTCGAGAGGGGAAACGGATCTTGTATTTTTAGAGAGAAGTACGACAGATTTTATACTACACAGGACGCTACAACTATTCGAGAGTGGCACACTGGTACAAGGGGCTTTGCATTGTTCCTCAAGAAGCTGCCTCACCGAGGGGCACAT